TTTTAGCCACGTCTAATGTGGATTTAATGATGTCACTGAAAGAGGAAACCTCAAACCAGATTTGGATATCAGGATCTCTCAGCTGACAGGCAGGCCTCTCTCTACAGACCCTTAGATTTATTCATCGTATTTCAACCAAATGTTCAACCAGTGCACCACAGCTGTATCTCAACATCCCACCTCACGATTTAACCCTTGCTTTGACGTGACGGCTCGCAGATTTGAAAAACAAATCAAAAGCCATAAGTTCTGTAAGACAATGCAAACACCAGGAACAGCCTCTTACTGTGAAGATGCTAACCATGTTTCCTGAAGACCTGTAAAAATGTGTCAGATCGTGGCCGTGCTTTGTTGATGGGTCGGATCGTCTGCAGCTCCTGACTGAAGAGTCCCAGTCTAGACGTTCCTACTTTCTGCGCAGGTGGCGGTCGCCGTCTTGGTCCATCAGGATTGGTTGCGCGTTGTTTCGCTGCCTTCATTTGTTTTCCAGACGTTCAGTTCTTTGCTTCTCAAATTAGTCGATTCCTAACGTGCAATAATGCAAAAATCTCATGAGAAACGTTGACCAGACCTAACCACTCAGCCACAGCCGTCGGGCATGACGCTCAGCTACTACCTCACCAAATTCTAGCTCCATGTTTGAAAAACGGGCCGAGTTGTAAATGTTGTCCTGTTGGCTAAGGTCAGTTAGCCATGGCAGCCATCTTAAATCTCACTGAATCCAAAAGTTAATCAGATGAAGATGGACATCTGATCTCTGCAGGGTGCAGGTCTGTTGGTCCATCTCACATTATGGACCAGACACTTAACCCCCCAGGGACACGGGGACTCAGATTGAGCGTTCCACCTTTCTCCATTCCTTCCACTCCGGTTCATCCCACCTCCCAGTCTTTGTCTTTTTGAGTCTCTGCTCTTGTGAAATATAAAAAATAACTTTTATTTTGCTGTGGCGCCAGGTGACGCCCCAGCTGATGCTGGCTGTGGGGACGGCTGTGATCGGCTCTCTGCAGTTTGGATACAACACCGGTGTCATAAACGCGCCTCAGAATGTGAGTAACTCCACTTTTCACTACTTTTTTCCTTAACGTGCAAGAATGGTAAATCAGGAAAGTCAGGAAAACAGTTTGGTCAGAGGTCTGGAATCTACAGCTGACCTTCTGACCTTCTGACCCTTCCATCTGCTGTTGGGATTTTACTCAAAGGAAAATCAGAACATTGTTTAAGTTTGGACTGAAGAAGTGAAACAGTGGATGATGAAGAACCACACCTGAGACGAGCAGAACTGCTCTGCCCGTTTTGTTTTCCAGATCATCGAGGGTTTCTACAATGAGACGTGGAGCGGCAGGTTCTCGGAGCCCATCGCTCGGAGCACTTTGACGGCTCTGTGGTCCCTCTCCGTGGCCATCTTCTCAGTGGGAGGAATGATCGGCTCCTTCTCTGTCGGCCTGTTCGTCACCCGCTTCGGCAGGTAAGGTCCCGCTCTTAGAAACCACATCTCACCTGCGAATCGGCCTGTTCTGATCAGAACCTGTGCGGTCTCTGCAGGAAGAACTCCATGCTCGGGGCCAACACGTTGGTGTTCTTCGCTGCTGCGTTTATGGGTTTCTCAGAACTGGCAGCTTCCTTTGAGATGCTCATCGTTGGACGTTTCATCATTGGCATCTACTCCGGCCTCTCCACGGGCTTCGTGCCGATGTACGTAGAGGAGATCTCACCGACATCGCTCCGCGGGGCGCTGGGCACCCTGCATCAGCTGGGGGTGGTCATCGGGATTCTCATGGCGCAGGTACGATCCCCAAACCACCAGTACACTCGTCACTTACCCACTTTAGAATAAACAAATTATAAAGATCTGAAACGGTCAACATGTGAAACTGTAATCTGGCTTTGAGGCTCAGTTCAGTGATGAAGTGAGGACTCTGGTCTGTGCGACCAGCGGGATTAAACGACCGAACAGAGTAATTACACAGAGACAATGGATGATGACGCAATGCTGGATTTAGTTTTAAAAAATGTGTTAACCGCGAAGAGAATCACTAAACTGAGCAAATTTATTGGGTTTTGAAAATAATAAGAGGCAGACGTCCCTCACACATTTAGTGCATTGAGCTCCACATCAACCCAGCTGAGTTCTGTTCCACGCCTCTTGGATTCGACGATGCTCGCCTCATTTCTGGGCCTGCTCCATCTGTAAATGTGTGAACGGTCAGAGGCAGCGTGTGGCCATTTTGCAGAACGGCATTATGAAAGAGCCTTGACTTCACCATCACCTGGTTGTGTTTGTGGTGCAGATCTTCGGGATCGAGTCGATCCTGGGGAACGCGTCGCTGTGGCCCCTCCTGTTGGGTTTCACTCTGCTGCCGGCCCTGCTGCAGTGCGCCCTGTTGCCCTTCTGCCCCGAGAGCCCCCGGTACCTCCTCATCGACTGCAACGAGGAGAGCAAAGCCTGCAGCGGTGAGACTCGCATACTTTGTCAGAGAGAGGCGGGGCCTCAGAGAGAGGCGGGGCTTCAGACAGTCTGTTTTTCAAGGATTTTTCTATAATAGATAAATAAATAAATACTTAATGTAGGCAAACTGCATTTTATACTGAAATTTAGTGTGACGCTGCTCGCTGAATCACTTTGCTGAAGAACCTGAAGCTAAAAATAAAAAACAGAACACAGATAAACGCTGAAGGTAGAATAAACTCTAAAGGTAAAAGCTGAAAACATTAAAACGCTTGGTAAAATCAGCAAAAAGCCTTTTTAAAGTAGCAAAATACTGGCTAAAAGCTAAAAGTAACAAAAGGATGGCTAAAAGCAAAATGCTAGCCAAAAGCTAAAAACAGCTAAACTCTTGCTAAAAGTAGCAAAAAGCTATCTAAAAGTAGAAAACGACTGGCTAAAAGCTAAATGTAACCCAACAAAAGCTAAAAGAAGGATCAAGCAGATTTAAAAGAGAGTATTTTTGGAAGGATTGGAAGAGATCTGAATATTTTCCTTTGTGGAAAAGTTTTATAAATAAAGTCAAATATTTGGAAAAGCATAAAAGTTACAGAAACCAAAAGTTTTAGCACCGATCTCCTGGATGAGCTGAATGTTCTGATTGTACAAAGTATGCAGAAATAGATAAAGTAGATTCCCACAAATGTATAAAAATGAAACAATGTGAATCACCTTGTGACTTTAGTCTGTGATAAACGTTCTATGAATAAACTTTACATCCTTATGCTGAGTCAGCATTAGTAAGGATGTTTCAGCGGACACAAGCCTTATTGCACAACTGATATGAAATCGTTAAGAATGGACTTTTCTACCTTCGTGTTACTGATGTTCGCTGTGCGCTTCAGTCCTAATAAAGCTGCGGGGGACCGACGACGTGAGCGAGGACGTCCAGGAGATGCGGGAGGAGAGCCAGAGGATGCTGAGGGAGAAGAAGGTCACCATCCCTGAGCTGTTCCGCTCTCCGGTCCACCGCCAGCCCATCCTGGTTGCCATCATGCTGCAGCTGTCTCAGCAGCTGTCTGGGATCAACGCCGTAAGTCAAACAGCAGCTTTTAGCCAGAGGAAGGTGTGAGCGATCTGCTGCACCGCCTGAGCCACAGCCACCAGAATTACATGAACTCAAAATCCAGCAGATGTCAGAGAAACAGATTCCATGTTTGGTTGCATTCTCTCAGTCTACACAATATGTAGCAGTACTGTAGTATCATGTAGCAGTACTGTAGTATCATGTAGCAGTACTGTAGTATCATGTAGCAATACTGTAATATCATGTAGCAATACTGTAGTATCATGCAGCAGTACTGTAGTATCATGTAGCAGTACTGTAGTATCGTGTAGCAGTACTGTAGCATCGTGTAGTAGTACTGTAGTATCGTGTAGCAGTACTGTAGTATCATGTAGCAGTACTGTAGTATCGCGTAGCAGTACTGCAGTATCATGTAGCAATACTGTAATATCATGTAGCAGTACTGTAATATCACGTAGCAGTATTGTAGTATCATGTAGCAGTACTGTAGTATCGTGTAGCAGTACTGTAGTATCGCATAGCAGTACTGTAGTATCATGTAGCAGTACTGTAGTATCATGTAGCAATACTGTAGTATCATGCAGCAGTACTGTAGTATCATGTAGCAGTACTGCAGTATCGTGTAGCAGTACTGCAGTATCGTGTAGCAGTACTGCAGTATCGTGTAGCAGTACTATAGTATCATGCAGCAGTACTGTAGTATCATGTAGCAGTACTGTAGTATCATGTAGCAGTACTATAGTATTATGCAGCAGTACTGTAGTATCATGTAGCAGTACTGTAGTATCATGCAGCAGTACTGTAGTATCATGTAGCAGTACTGTAGTATCATGTAGCAGTACTATAGTATCATGCAGCAGTACTGCAGTATCATGTAGCAGTACTGTAGTATCATGCAGCAGTACTGTAGTATCGTGTAGCAGTACTGTAGTATCATGTAGCAGTACTGTAGTATCATGCAGCAGTACTGTAGTATCATGTAGCAGTACTGTAGTATCATGTAACAGTACTGTAGTATCATGTAACAGTACTGTAGTATTATGCAGCAGTACTGTAGTATCGTGTAGCAGTACTGTAGTATCATGTAACAGTACTGCAGTATCATGTAGCAGTACTGTAATATCATGTAACAGTACTGTAGTATCATGTAACAGTACTGTAGTATCATGCAGCAGTACTGTAGTATCATGTAGCAGTACTGTAGTATCATGTAACAGTACTGTAGTATCATGTAACAGTACTGTAGTATTATGCAGCAGTACTGTAGTATCGTGTAGCAGTACTGTAGTATCATGTAACAGTACTGCAGTATCATGTCCGTCCATTTGTCCTCTTCTTATCTGGGTCCTGGAGAAAACAGGTCCAGAAAGAAATCTCAGCCATAAATTTGAGTTCCCTCTGAGGGTTCCCAGGGGGTTCCCAGGCCAAAAGATAGACAGGACTAGATGCGTGAGTTCTAGATCTGCCCTGGGGTCTCCTCATGCCAGGAAAATGTCTAGAAGGAGGCGTCCAGGAGCCCCCAGTCCTGGTCCAGTTCTAGCTCATGAAACAAGAAGTGAAGCTGAAGCGTGGGTGGTAACAGTGGAGGGGGTCCCTTAATGCTGCACCTGGAGGAGTCCTCTGAAACTGGATCATTTGGTTTTTAATTCAATCTGCTTCACTCCAGTAAACAAGTGTAAACGACTTCATAAGGAGCTCAGATGACTGAATGTCCTCCTCTCAAGGTGTTTTACTACTCCACTGGGATCTTTGAGCGAGCGGGGGTGTCCCAGCCCGTCTATGCCACGGTCGGTGCCGGCGTGGTCAACACCATCTTCACTGTGGTCTCCGTAAGTCGCTAAAGCTCCGTTAACGGTAAAACTCATCTGGATGTGGGAGCATTGAACCTTCTGTCCTTCTGTGCAGCTCTTCATCGTGGAGCACGTGGGCAGGAGGCCCCTCCACCTCGTCGGTTTGATGGGGATGGCGGTTTCAGCCGTGTTTCTAACCGTTGCCATGGCGCTGCTGGTACGTGTTTCCCTCCACCTTTGCAGAACCCGTTTGAAACGTTTACCTGAGAGCCCCCGCGGCGGTCTTTCTTCTCCGTTCAGGACCAGCTCAGGTGGATGTCCTACGTCAGCATTGTGGCCATCTTCAGCTTCGTGGCCTTTTTTGAAATCGGCCCCGGCCCCATCCCCTGGTTCATCGTGGCCGAGCTCTTCAGCCAGGGGCCCCGGCCCGCTGCCATCGCGGTTGCTGGTTTTTGCAACTGGTCGGCCAACTTCCTGGTGGGGATGTGTTTCCAGTACGTCGAGGTGAGTGTTGCTGCCGGTGAGCAGCTGCGACCAGCGTCAAGTTCTCCATGAACACTAAAAGGAGCGCTTCCACCGCGCATGCAACCTTTCAAACAACGATCCTGTGAGCCCTCAGGGTGTGTGTTCAGGATGACTCCTGGCTACTACCACACAAAATATGAACCTGTTCTTTGTAAAACTGACCAAGTTTGAGCTACTTTGTTGTAGCTGTGGCAGCCATTTTGGATCGGTTTGATCCTTAACAGTGTTTCCTCCAGGTCTTGGCAGGGCGCTCCTCTCTTCAAGGATTTTTGTTGAAGCGTGCATGTGTTGACACGTGCATGTGTTGACACGTGCATGTGTTGACGCGTGCATGTGTTTAGAGGGACGTGCTTGTGTTTGTGTCGGCAGTTGTCGACGGGGTGGGGGCGGTGTAGGACAGTTCGGGAGGCGGGGCGCCCTCCTTATATAACGGTAGGGAAACACTAAAGATCCACGTCTTGAGAGTTTAGACTCCCAGGGTCCAGGGGATATTTTGCTGACAGACAGACGAACCAGCACACCGGTCTAATTATTTCAGGGTCTGTCTTTCCCCTAAATGCTCGTTCACTTCTCTTTAATCTGCTGCTCTTCTTTATAAAACAGCTTCTGTCCACAAAGTGAAGGAATGAAACCGTTTGTTTCCCCCTCAGCAACTCTGTGGCCCCTACGTCTTCATCATCTTCACCGTCCTGCTGCTTGGCTTCTTCGTCTTCACTTACTTCAAGGTGCCTGAGACCAAGGGCCGCACCTTCGAGGAGATCTCCGCAGGTTTCCGCCACTCGTCCGGTCAGGGCGCAGACAAGTATTCAGCTCCCGAAGAGTTCAACACCCTGCGGGGTCACGACCCCGACCTGTGAGAGCTGCGACAACATTTGTGCAACAAAAAGTCCCACTCCAGTTTTTATACGAGTTCTTTACCTCAGACTGGTTTAATATTCACTCACACACTAAAGTCTCTTCTTTAGTTTGGTTTAGATTTTATCCAACCTAAAACAAACTCGCTGTAAAAAGATTTTTTTTAAATTAGTGTTAAAATTAATTGTAAAGCCCATGGAATGGGCTGGGGGGGGGGGTTCTATGGAACAGTGATAAAAAGTGAACATCTTACCTGTGACTGGCTCTTTGAATCACCTCAGTTTGAGGAAAGATGAGCAGACTGACGAGCTAATGGCTAGTCCAAACACGGCTAAGACCAGCGTTTCCATTAAAACTTGATAAACCTTAACTTCATCGTCATTTTCTCATTTCATGGTTGTTTCAATGGAACTAAACGACAGACAGCAGCTACAGCAGCAGCTAGCTGTAGCTGTTTCAGTGCAGCCTGAATCCTGCAGGAATTTAAGATTTCTGCAGAAATAATCATGTAAATAAATCATGTAATATTAATAAATAATAAATCAGTGTTTATTCGCTGGCCAGTCTGTGTCAACACAGAGAAAATGTTTTCTACATTTAGCAGCAGTTCATAAAATCACTTCTATTTGTTGTTTTCCATGACAGTTAATGAAACATTAATGAATTACAGCAGAGATGATTTGAGTTGAGCCCTGCCTGCAGCAGACACTGGTGCTACAGCTAGCTGCTGCTGCTATCTGCTTACAGATGATCCCAAAATTCACAGTAGTGAACCTGAGGGCGGTGTGGCGTCTCTCAAAGAGTCTTTGTGAGCCGCCATGACGTTTTCGAGTCCGGACCTGTTTCAGGACGACACGCGTGTTCTGACCAGCCATTAGCTCTTCACTTGAACTAAACCACACATTTAACCAACAGTCGTGTTGTTTTAGCCACATAAAGAATATTCTGTTAGGTTTTGATGTATTGAATTTATGTCAGTGTTTGTTTTTATTGTCATTATTTGAAACTGATTTATTTATTGTTGCTTTTTCTTCTTTAAGCTTCGTAGAAAGTAAAAATTGTTGAACCGGTCAGATGTTTCAGAATGTGTGTATTTTACTGTAATTAACAGAACTGTTTAATTAGCTCTTGTATTTATATTTACATTTATATTCTTGGTGGTTTAACATTTTAATAATTGGAATGCATATTAATAATTAGGTAGAAGTTTTGTTTTTAAATTAATTTTGTTTTTGTGCATAAAAATCCAAACTCAATTTTTGCCTGTGAAAAGTGATTCTTAGGATTTTTGTTATTTTTAATTGTGTGATGTGAGTTTTACTTCATTGGTTTTTCTCATAGATGTTCTTTATAGTGTATTAAAATAAAAATAAAACTACAAAACACATTAATGTTTTTGTTGAATAGTGATTAATCTGTGACGTTTGTAAACAAGTTAATAATCTGAATTTAAATAAAGCTGTCGATGAACAAAAGTTCAGCTGACGTCAAACTCCTGGTGACACAAACTTAAATATTTAATAAAGACCAGACTGAACTGATAATTATTATTTTTTGTTGTTTCAGTAACAAATACTTTTTTAGAAAAATTCAAGGGAGAAATCACAGGTAATCACACAAACAATCAAAGATGGGAATCACCATGGCAACCAGGGACTGTGGAAAAAAAGGCAGGAATCGCCATAGCAACCAGGGTCTGGTGAAAAAGGCGGGAATCGCCATAGCAACCAGGGTCTGGTGAAAAAAAGG